ACTCATTCTGGTTTCACTCCCACATTATGGTAGTGCATATTCAACTTCCTGGTGAAATGATCTAGCAAGTCACTCAGTTGTATCAAACCACTATTTAGAGGCTACTAGGAATGGGAAATAGCTTCTCATCTTGCCAGTGACATCCATATTCTCAAGAATTGACTTGTAAAACTTCGTTTAATTTTTGACTTGGCTTCTGGAATGTGAATCCTTCACCTTCACTACAGAATCATATAAATTATACTTCAGAAGAAGATTCATTGTCAGTACTGGCACTGTTTAGACATTAACACTGATTCCGTTTTTTGTTTTGCATGGTCTTCATATCTTACCTATTCCTCAGTTTTAATTTTTAAAGATTTGTTCAAAGGATGAGCGTGTTACCAGAAAATTCAGCATTTCTTGCCCATCCGTAATTGCCCCTTGAACAGAGTGACAGCTATACCACTTCAAAGGGTAGTTAAGTGTCAACCATGTTGTTTTGACTCTGAAGTTGCATGCAGAATTCCTTACCTAAAAGGCAACAGCAAGCCACGTGCAACAATTAATTATCATATCATACTCACAATTACTGTGATTAAGTTTCAATTTCAGAATTATTACTTGAATTTAAATTCCATCAGCTGCTGCAGTGGGATTGGAACCTATGTCCAAACTAATACACCAGAGTGTTTATCTGCGCTTCTGTATTCTGCATTGCTAGCCCAGTGACTTTAACACAACCCCATCATCTGTCAAATTGCTGCACTTTGTTTATCACAAGCAGCTACGAAGACAATGCCAAGTTGTAATAATCCTTGAGTGAAGCATTTCTTCTCATCTTCTCATCTTCTTATGATGATTCAGTCAGCAAAAATAACCTTTCCCATTTATCTTTTCAAAATCTTCACAATCCTGAAGAATTTGCTTTTGTCCCTCCTCCTTAACACTAGCTGCTGAGGGAAGGGAGCTCTAAATTTTCTTTGTTAAAACCTTTCATTCCTAATGTCATATACAGCAAAAAATTCTTTTCCATATTTCTAATCTTCCTAGCACGTTGCTAGGCACCAAATCGTACGCATACCAAATGCTGTCACTTTCTCTTTAATGTCAAATGGTACTCCCATGATAGTTTCAGGGGACATAGCCTGATGTAGGATTTTGAATGTATTTTTTAAATGTGTTCCTCTCTGGTTAATTTTAATCTATTTTTCTTCACCATTAGTGGTAAATGAGGGGAAAACATTGATCAATGCAGCTACAGCTCCAACCTAACTTTTTTTTTAATCTCTGAATCAAATTTGCTGACACTGGCAAATGTTTTGGACTCCTTTTGAGACGAGAGGTTAACTTTTGCTGCGCTGAATATGATGTAAACAAGTAACAACCTCCACCATTAGAGCCATGAGAGAAAAACTATATATTGCCAACCCAAAAAACTAGCAGCAACTACATTATTTCAAAAATACACTTCTTCAAAACAGTAGAGATTATGGAGAAATATTATCAAAGTATTTAAAATTATAATAAAATGGGACTGGATGGATAGAAGGGCCTAGAACAAAGAAAAGAGGAACTCCTTCACAGAGAGGTGCAAGTCCGTGACATTAGCTTTCATGGTTATCTGTCTGAGACAGAAACTGTCAGCATTTAAGATTAGAGTGAATAGACAGAAAAAAGACTTGCATTTATATAGTGCTTTCCATGACTACCACAAACTGCTCTCAGCCAATAAAGTATTTTTTAAAAATGTATTTATTTTAATATAGAAAACTATTCAAAGGAATGCAGAACATTGTGTATAAATTAGAAATGTAAACATCAACACCAACACAAACTAGTTGGCCAAATAACCCTATTCTGTACGTTCTCTATTTTCTCCTTCAAAGAATTAATCTTTACTGGATAAGAGAGATAGGGAATCAGCTGACACTTAGACTAGAATTAATACAGCTGAGGCATGAGACAGATTCTTCTGGTTGGGAAGAAATTCTAAAAAGCAAGAAGTAAAATTTTAAAATATTTGTGAACGATGGCAATATTTTTAAAATGACTAAGTTGTTATCCCAGTTGATTCATGGTGCTAGCGCAACCTGTTATTGAGCTGTACCATTATTCAAGCTTCCAGATTCTTGATCTTTGCTTTATGAAGTTGCAGCAGTAGTAGGATCATTATAACTGATCGTAGCTTTGTGAGATGGAGTTGTTAGAATTGGCTAAATTGTCTGGTAGCTATCCACTGATCTCCCATGTTGGAGAATGCATGTGACTGAGTGATCCTGGTTTCCATGGAAAAATAATCTGGTGAGGAGCTGAGAAATGAGATCAAAGAAACTGAATGGGCCCAAGAATTTTCCCTTTCCAGATGGTACCTTTACAGCTGGGTTTACAGTCATATTTTGTAACTGTGCAAAAAGAACATTAGGCCCCTTCATTAGATCACAAAGACCATTAGACATACGAGCAGAAGCAGGCCATTCAACCCATTAAGTCTGCTTCACCATTCAGTGAGATCACATCTGATAGGATAATCTTCAACACCCATTTTCTTGTCCTTTCCCCAGTAACCCCTCATTCTGTTACTGAATTACCGTAAACCTGTCTGTCTCAGCCCTGAATATACTTAATGACTCACCCACTTCAGCCCTCTGGTGAAGAATTCCATATTTTCGCTACCATCTGAGAGAAGAAATTCCTTCTCATCTGTCTTAGATGTGTAGCTCCTTATTCTGAGATAATGCTCTGTGTTTCCCCTTGCAGGTGAGTCTAGGATCAGACTTTCTGCATCTACCCTGTCATGTGCTCTAAAAATCTTGTGTGTTTTAATTAGGTCACCTAAATTCCAAAGAATACGGGACAAACCTATTTGACCTCCCCCCGTAAGGTAGCCCATCCAGACCTGGTATAAGCATAGTTAACCTTTTCTGAACTGCCTGCAATGCCATTATATCTTTCCTTAGATAAGGGACCAAAACTGTTCAGTCTTCCAGCTGTGGTCTGATTAGTGCATTATATCGTCACAGTGAAGCTTCCCTATTTTTATGCTCCGTTCCCTTTGAAATAAAGGCCAAAATTCCATTTGCCTTCCCTATTACCCACTGAACATAGATGCTAGATTTTTCTGATTCATGGATTAGTGTTTCTAAGAGATCTTCTACGATAAATTATGTCCTTTGAGTCATTCTTATCAATTGATATCATTATTGGGTGGAAACTTATTAAAATGCCTTTTAATCTTCATTCTTCTGTATGATTTTCTGCCTGTGATGTGCAGCAGCTTTTCTGAATGAATATTCAAAATCTAACTTATGTATGTGATGTTATGAAAGGTTTTAATTATATTGGATTAGTTGGTACTGTTAATGGTTAGACTTAAATGATGCAGTTTGAGTAGATTTTGGGGGAGGGTCATACAAGACCTCAGTGGACAAGGCTTTTTAACTAAAATATATTTGGGCCATGTAAAATTAAGTGTAATGCATACTGTTTGTCGTTATGAATCATAGGTGTGAAAATTAGAGAGGAATTTTACATTAGCACTCATCTATTCTCTTGTTCCCTTCAGAATCAATTATTCCAGCTCTCCCAGATATCCTTTCATCATCCACTATTCATAAGCTTGAGTTGTGCGAAAGTCTGCTTCCCATATCTTATCTAGCACTAAATTTCAATTACTCAACCCCTTGTGCTTTCTGTGCATATTGATTTCTGGTCCAGTAAAACTTTGACTTAAAAATTCTCACCCTAGTATTAAAATTCCTAATGTAGCTTTAAACCTAACTATCTGTCTTGCCTCCTCCAGTCCTAAAACCTTCCAAGAATTCTTCCTTTCCATATTTTGGCTGAGTGTACATTCCGCACTTCTTTTACACCATTGGAGCTTGTGTTTTCAGCCATCTTGGTCCTGTCATGTGGAATTTCCTTCTTAAACCTCTCCACTTCTCTTCCTTTTTAAGGATCTCCTTAATCCTACATGTTTAACCAAGCTTTTTGTCACCTCTTCTAACGATGGGTTTGGTAGCAAAGCACCGTTACCAAACTAGTAGAGGCCCACTTAGTTGTTGATGTGTTTTCAATTGTCTACAAATTACTTTTCCAATTGTCTCTTTTGTGAATTACATATGAACCTCATTTAAATTTATTATCTGTTGTCGATGGATAGCATCTGGAGAATTCTAATTGGAACTGAGCTCTACAATCGTCAATGAACAAATCACTTCTGACCCTATGATGAAGTGAAATGAACATTGATGTTTGCACCTAAGAAATTATACCGACTGTGAATCTAACCTCTATACTGACTTTGCCACATGAGCTAATGGATGGAATTAAATAGACCACATTTTAAAATTGGGAATATCCTGTAACTCAAAAGAAAATTAATTGAAAGCATGTTTTATCTGCCTGGGACTGTCTTTTTATTCATTCTTTGGATTTGGGCATCTCTGCAATATCTGGCATTTGTTTCCCAGCCCCAAATGCACTCAAGGAGTTAGTGAGCTGTCAATATGAACCACTGCAGACCATTTGATGAAAGTATTCTTAATCTGATTAATTAGTGAGTAGTGGGGTTTTGAGAATTTTAATTATGCAGTCAATGGATTGGCCTGAATGTCTTAAAGGAGCAATCTATCTTCTTTCACAGAGGAGGGAGGGCAGAAAGGGAATTGTGGTGTAGGGTAGGGAGGCAATGATGGGGATTTTAATGACTGAAGAAATGGGAATATTTTCAGGTTAGAGCTGTGTGCAACTTGGATACACTCTTGAAAGTTATGGTGTTTCCACCTATATGCTGAGCTTATTCTTCTGTCTGCTGCTACTTGGCATGACCTCATGTAAAATGAAAGTTCGGTTCGTCCTGTTGAAAGGGCACATTACAACCGCTGTACACTTACACTGATATTTAAAATTGTCTCTCATGTATGTTCCCAAATACAGCAGTAAAGATTCTTAGCAAGAACTAAAGTATTTGGCTTTTTACTTTCACTAATTGTATTGAGTTCTTTTTTAAATATTTACAGCCAAACCTGAAGAACCATCAGCAGAAGGCATGGTTGGAACAGAAAGTGCCGTAACTTCCAAAGAGCGTCCGTTGAGCACAGATACAAAGGGCAAGGTAGAGATGCATTCAAGTCACAAAATTCTTTATTTAAGCTTTGTGTATTTGATTTGCACCTGCATGTCATTTTAAATTTGTTTAGTCATATTGCAGTTAAAGTCTGTGTTTTTGAGACAGAAAATTTGTTTTGGCTTTTTTTTTGATTTTTGTCTTTAAAATTACAAAATACGCCTTCATAATTTTTTTTAAACTGGTGTCCACCGTTGTTTGTCACTACCTTCTATTTCCAAGTGGTAGACCCACTCTATGCTGAGTATGTTGCAACTAACTTGTTTCCATACACTATGGTTAATCTGTAGTACCTGTCGGAATGTGCCAGAGCCCTGATCCAGGTGTTCACGTGCCTGGATATTGTTACATTTGCTTCTGAAACAATGCAATGAGATTAAACCGGTGTGAGTTAGGTAGTACTTTACTTGTGCAAGTCTCCAGGGCGTATGTGTAAAAGGATTTAGATGCTTGGTAAAGCGTCTTCCCTGCTTCCCTCATACCCCTTTCCTCCCGTTGCTACTTCCTCACCCAGTTTGTTATCCCCTTCTTGCCCTCTTTACTTGACTGGCTCCTACTTATCACATGAAAGGAAACAAATGCTATTTTTTGATAGTTAAACCAATCCTTGGCCTACATATAGCTAAACCTCTCAAAAACACAATTTATTGATCATAAAATTATCTTTGGCATTTACTTTGTGTTTTTATTTATTTGGCTTTTTAATTCCATGCTTCTTTGGCATTGTCGATGTTTTTTTTGTTTTATTTTCTTTTGCTAATATGTAAAAGACGGGCACACCGGCTGCAAAGATCTCACCAACCAAAAGTAAGCCACAGCCACCAGCCTCCCTTAAGCGACCTGCAGCAGCTGCTACAAGCCCCAATAAAAAACTTGTTACATCCACTTCAGCTACAACAGCAGCTTCTACTTCTAAGCGAGCTTCTTCTAGCCTGGTGCGGCCTTCCTCTGCGACCGCCAAAGATGTGAAACCAAAGGTAAGGGTTGGTGGGAGGTGGGGAGGAAGATATGTGTTGAGTGTTAATTTTACTTTACTTTTCCTCTTTGGTTTTAATATAATTAGCCCTCTCCCTTAAAGTTCTTTTTTGGTCAATTTGACTTGTTCAGTTGCTGCGTTATGCTGAGTGAACTGATGTCTGTTTGCACAGCAGTAGTAATGCAATGCATCTCCTTTATGCTTCTTAAATGGAAGTTGGGGATATCATCTAAGCGTGCCATTCTCCTTTTGCTTTCTGTTGGTTCTGACGCCTTGTATGGCATCAATAAAAGGCAGAGTCAGCCTTGATGGTGACCTTCTCAGCAATTGAATAACTTGCCATCGGTTACTAGAGGTATGAAACTCACAATAGATATTTAGAATATTATTGAAGCAATGTTACCTGTGAAACTATATACCATCATGGAATACTTAGAGAACAGATAATGAAATAAAAGGTTGAGTGCCAAGTGAATGATCCATCTCCACTTGATATCAAGAAATGCCTGAAGTCAATGGATACTGTAAAAGCTCTGCACTCTGCCAAGATTCTGGCAGTAGTACTGAAGGTTTGTGCTCCAGAATTAGCCACGCCCCTGGCCAAGCTGTTCCATTGCAGTTCTAACATTGGCATCTACCTGGCAATGTGGAATATTACCCAGGTATGTCATATCCACAAAAACCAGGACAAATCAAACTTGGTCAAGGACTGCCCCTTCAGTCTACTCTCAATTATCAACAAAATGAATTGAAGTAGTTAGTGTTTCAAGTCCAATACGAATTGTCTTCTTCGAAGAAGAGTCCTATTGGATTTGAAATCTAAGTCTGTTTCAGCTCTGTACAGATGCTGCCAGACCTGAGTTTTTCCAGAAGTTTATTTTTATTTAAGATCTCCAGCATTTGCAATACTTTCCTTTTATTCAATGGAAGGGGTTGTTGGCAGTGTTAACAAGTGGCAACTGCAAATGAACAAACTGCTGAGATGTTTAGTTTTGCTTCTACCCAGCTATTTGGTTACTCGCCTTATTACAGTGCTAGATGTAGAAAAAAGAACTGAACTCAAGGGGATTTGAGGATAGCTCCCTTGATATTAAGTGAGCATTTTACTGAATGGGACATCAAGGATCTCTAACAAAACTAGAGCCACTGGGAATCGGGAAGTCTTGCCACTGGTTAGAGCAATACCTAGCAGAAAGGAACATGATTGCGGTTGTTGGAGGCCAATCATTCAATCCCAGAACACCACTACAGCAGTTTCACAGGGTAATGCTCTAAATGCTCCAACAACAGTATTTAGCCATAGATTGATAAGTAGCAAGTAACATTTGTACCACACAGATGCCAAGCCATGACTATCTTCATCAAAACACAGTTCAAACTTCACTCCTTGTCATTCAATGGCATTGCCATAGCTAAATCCTCCACTATCAACATCCTGGGGGTTACCATTGATCAGAAACTGAATGAGAACACCCAAATAAATACTGTGGTTACAAACATAAGTTACAGAATGGGAAATCTGCAGCATGTAACTCACTTCCTAACTCCTTACACCCTGCCTGTCATCTACAAAGGGATAAATCAAGCGTTTGGTGGAGTATTCTGTGCTTGCCTGGATGCATGCAGCTTGACACAAGAGCCCACTTGATTGAATACCATCAAACATTTTAAACCTTGACTCTCTCCGTCGCTGATGCACAGTGGCAGCAGTGTGGACCATTCACAAAAGTCACCACAAAACTCACCAGATTTCTTGTACAGTGCCTTCCAAACTTGTAATCTGTACCACCTAGAAGGACAAGAGCACGAGATACATGTGAACACTACCACCGAGTTCAATTCTAAGCCTCACACTATCCTGACTTGGAACCATATCACTGTCACTGGGTCAAAATCTTGGAGGTGCCTTCCTAACAGCACTGTCTATGTGCTACATCACATGGACTGGAGTGATTTCAAGAAGACAGCTGATCGCCTTGCCCTGGACAGTTAGTGGGGTGCACAATAAATGCTGGCATAATTAGCGACATGCACATCCCAAGAGTCAATTTAGAAAAAGTGGTGTTTGGTAGGTGGCTTTTATGGTGGTAGATCAAATAAACTATTCTGTCCCTGTTGAGGGGCCAAAGGTGGAGTCCATTTGATTAAAATTACGAAACATTAATGAAGCTGTTCTGTTTCTGTGTATATACTTTAGGCCATCAAATAGTGAGAAAGACATACAAAAGGAATTTGCTGTCAAATTACAAAAAGTGACAAGAATACAGAATAATAATAATAATCATGGACTGAGCTGGTAGCATTAAAGAGACAGAGAAATTTCTAAGGTGTACAAGACTATTTTCTTGATCATTGCTTCTAGGGGAACAAAAACTCTGCCACAGCTTCTCACCTTATATCTCCCAGTCCCACCTTACATCTCCCAGTCCCACAAGGCCTACTTGTACCTCTTCGCAAAATCCACAAACAGGAATGCCCTGACAAAATTGTGATTTCAGCTTTCCTGCCTCACTGAATTTACTTATACCTATCTTGACTCTTTCTCTTTTTCCCTCATCCAATCTCTTCCCATTACAGTTGTGATTCTTTTGAAACTTTACATAAATTTCCAGTTCCTAGTGCCAGCCTTCTACATGTGAATACCACTTCAGGATGGTCTGAAGGTTCTCTGCTCCTCACTTGAAAGGAGGCCTGATTAGTCTCCATCTACCTGTACTCTCCTTTGACCAGCTATGGTTGTTTTCACTTTGAATAATTTCTCTTTTAAGTCATCTCACTTTCTGTAAGCAAAGGGCGAGGCCTATCTCTTTGTGGAATATATGCAATATTTCTTCCTGCCCTACTGAGGTCCCTTCCCACAACTCTTTCTCTGGTATATCAATGACAACCTCAATACTACTTTCTGCTCTTGTTCAGAATTGGAAAATTTAATCAATTTTGCTTCCAGTTTTTATCCTTTTCTCTCTCTTTCACATTCTTCATCTCCGACTCTTTCCTTCCCTTCCTTGACTTCACTGTTTCTGTTTCTGTGGATAAGCCATCCACCAATATCTATTATAAACCCACTAATTCCTGCAGTTATCTTAATCTACACTTCCTCATCCGCTTCCTTTAGCAATTAGATTCCATTCTGTTTCTCTGTCTCTGGCACATCTGTTTTAATGATAGCATCTTCCATGGACTGCTTCTGACACACCTTGCTTTTTTCTTAACTGAGGATTTGCCACCATTATGGTTGGTCTCAGCCATGTCTGATCCATTACTACATTCACCCTTTCTCCACCCCTGCCTGAAAACTTATATGGCACCCTTGTCCTTGTTTTCGACCCCATCAGCTGCTGCTTTCAGAGGATAACCTTCCATCATTTCCACCACCTCCAGCAGGATGCCACAACCAAACATATCTTCCTTCTTCCCCTCCATAACACATTGGACTGTTCCTCTGTCACTCCTAACAGCTCTTTACTCATCCCTTAGTAACTTTGAGGCAATTGCAGAAGGTGTAACACTTGCCCTTTTACCTCTTCCGTTCTCACTGCCCAAGTCCCAACCACACCTTCTAGATCAAATAGTAATTTACTTCTACTTCTTCCAATCCACTTGATTGTATTCGCCACTCACAGTCTGATCTCATCTATGTTGGCGATATTAAACACAAATTGGATAATACCTTTTGTGGACCTTCCAGTCAGTCGCTTACCATTTCAATACACTACCACAGGCCTAGCATGAAATATTAGCATGAGAGAAAGCTAATGTAATGGTGAAGCCCAATGCAAGCTGGAGCAACAGCATCTCATTGATACCATTAACATTTATATCCCTCCTCAGCTACCATTAGCACCTCATCTACTGTTGCTCTGGGTACCCTCACCATCTTTGTCATAGTGTCATAGAGATTGTTCCAGTTATCCTCCTTGCCCTTTGTCAGCAACATAAAAATCATCATTTTTCCAGCTCCCTTCAGCTCGAAAGTTGTATTGGAATCAAAACATCAGCTTCATTTCCCTCTCCAGGGATGTTGTCAGATTTGCTATGTTTCTCAGAGACATGCTTTTTTTTAAATCTCAGATCTTCTGCATCCAAAGTACTTTTCTTTAAGAAAGAAAACAGTCTTGGATCTAATTCTGGGGAATAAAGTGGCGAAGTGGATCCTCTAAGTGGGTGAGATTTGGGGATGAGTGATTGTAATATTTAATTTAAAGTAACAATGAGAAAAGATTTTTAAAAAATCAAAAATAAAATACTAACTGAAAGAGAGCTAATTTCAATTAATTTAAAAGGAGCCTGTGATGAATTTAGAGCAATATTTGTTACACAAAGCACTAATTGAACGTTTGGCAACTTTTTGTGAAAGTATATTTAATCCTTTGAGGAGAAATGTGAAAGGCACCCAAAGCTAGTGATTTCTGGGTGATTAAAGGTATGGAAGTTGAAATAAAAAAAGAACAGGAAGATTTATGATAATTGTAAGATTCATAATACAGTACAGAAACAAGCTAAATGTAGTAAGGACTTCAAAGATCCAGAAAAGATAGATTTAGTGAATAAAAATGGAACATGAGACTAGATCAGTGCTAACATACAAGGGAATCCAAGAGTGTTTTTATCAACAATATATCTGATGTGGAGGTGCTGGTATTGGACTGGGGTGGACTAGGTCAGAAATCACACGACACCAGGTTATAGTCCAACAGGTTTATTTGAAAACACAAGCTTTCGAAACCTAGCCCCTTCGACAGGTGAAATGAGAAAGAAGCACACAGAACATAAAATTTATAAGTAAAAGATGAAAGAGTCACACAACTGATGAGGATGTATTAAACAAATCTAATATGCTGTTAAATCTTTAATCAGTTAGGTTTTAATTGATTAATATGTATATTTAAATCCTGAATTTCTTTCAAGTCACTGCCCTGAAAGAACTAAGGGTTATATCAGTACAAAAAAGAGATGCCATTTTAGGTCAGACAATGCATGTTAGGTGTGAGGCTTTGTTTA